GCGACGGTCGTCCGTCGTCGGTACCTACCTGGAGCAGTCCTTGACTGCCGAATGCAGGTGGTTAGTAAGCGAGTCGATCGCAATGAGAGTGTCCTCGGTGGACTCTATGACGTCGGGAATACGGTTGAGTATCGGTGTGTCGGTCGATTCGAGAGATTTCTCGAGTCGTTGCCAGTCTGTTATTGTTTTGGTTGGTAGTGGCGTGTCGGGCGGAGGGCCCAGAAGGAGGGTTACCGGTCGATGGTCCGAGTTAATCTCGGCATGGACTTCTGGGGAGCTCACCCGTAGGGTTACGTTCCTCAGCAGTGCCATGTCCAGTATGTCGGGTCGGTGGTTCACGTTATGGGGATAATGAGTAGGGCGGAGCGGGGCGATTATCTCGAATTCGAGAGGGTCGGCTAGTCTGTCTAGTTTGTGGCCGTTTGTCGTGGACACGTGGCAGTTCCAGCGGGTGTGTTTACAATTTAAATCGCCAGCTAGAATGGTGGCGCTGTTGATATCTAGGAGGGCGCGTAGGTCACTTTCCAGCAGTAGTTTGCCGGGAGGTTGATATACGGATGCCACGGCGAGCGGTCGGTGGCCGGTCATGCCGAGAAGACAGACGGAGGCCTCCATATGAGTGAGAGGCGGTGTTTGTAGCGGTATACAATGTAGGGACCGTTTATAGTATATGAGCGTACCGCCGCCTCTACAGGCGGTGCGGTCGTTCCTAACTATGTTGTAATTGGCGATTCTAGGATCGCGGACTGAACGTTTCAGTAGGGTCTCCTGCACGAGGAGAATATCGACTTGGTGGTCGGTGAGAAAGGAGGCGATTTCCTCCTTTTGTTTTTTTAATCCGAATGCGTTAAAAAACGCTATTCGAACGGACCGAGGCTTTTCTCTCTGAGCTCGAGTACCCATAATTACAGGTTAAAATTGAGGATGGCGGTAAGTACGCCGATGTGTTCGCAGACGGCTGCGAGCCTATTATTTTGGGGCGACTCCTTATACAGGCGGAGCTTGGAGGCCAGAAGGACAATCTCGTTAGGGTCGATGGTGCTGGCTAAGCGAGCGACCAATGCGAAGTCCTGCGCGAGGGAGCTGCCGTTGACCTTAGGGGCCGCGGGCAGTGTTTTGGGGACGGGTTTGTGTACGGGCATGGGCGGGGCCGATTGGGTGGCCTTCTTTTGGGCGGGACGTGGGGCGCGTGAACAACCGCGGTAATTCGTGGTGTGACCCTCTGTGAGGCAGAGGGTGCAACTGGGGGCCGTGGGGGCATTGGGCGTGATCGCCTAGGCACTTAACGCACCGTGGGCGAGCGAAGCAATTACGGGCAGAGTGCCCGTAGTTCTGACAACGGTGGCATTGTCCGGGGTAGGTACGCTTGCGAGGCGCCTCTACGGAGAGAGAGGATAGTTGGCAAACGCTCTTTATGTCAAAGATCGATTGGCCTTCGGGAGATCAGTCCAATATGACTAGCACAAGGTCGATAGCGGCCTTGTTGCGAGAGCGCGACTGATACATACGATGTACCTCGTGCGCTGGGTAATTTTGGGACTGAAGGTCCTCAAGGATGGAGTCTGTAGAGAGCTCCTTGGGTAAGCCGCGTATTACAACGCGGAGCTTTTTTCTCTTCCTCAAGAGCATAGGTGTGATAACCTATGTTTTTCTCTTGCAGGAAGGTGGTGAGTCGACGATGGTCGTCAGATGATGGGACTGTAACTTTGATCCCTAGAGCAAACACGGTATGATACGGAGATTCGTTCGAGAGCACGTCTATCGACCAAAAGAGGCCGCACACTTTTTTTTTTTTTTTTTTTTCGGACTACTCTAATGCTGTTGGCCGTAGCTGGCCTTTACAGCTTCACCGGACGTTAGGGGGCGAGTGGCACTCCAAACCCGCGGAAGGACTTATGGAGCGGCTGAAGGCCAACTCCTGCCTGACGGATACGACTTTAGTCTGAGGGCACCACTAGGGGTTCGAACCTCGGCTCAGGCCGTCGTAATTTCGATCCCCGTTTGAATTGGACGGGGGATCGATCGGAGGGGCGCCCGGGGGCGCCGGTGTGGAGCGCCCGGGCGCGCTCAGGCGCCCGGTTGAATGCGCGATATTGAGTGTTTGAGGTCGTCGTCTTCGCCGGCGAGGACGGTGTCGTGTGTGTGTGTAAAAGTGTGATCGGGGTGGAACGGGTGGGCCCGTGGGGAGGTTACCTGCCGTTATGGGGTCGTCGGGGTCAATGAGAACGTGCCTCGGGCGACGTTGTCGCGTATGTCGGATATTACTCCTCGGAGCGTAGTCGACCGCACTGACTATAAGTGGGTTAGGGTGGGATTGGGCAGAGTCGAAGTAGCGTTGGTGATGGGGGACTTCAATGCCAAATCCACGGCATGGGGCTCCCCCATCACCGACTCTCGAGGCAGGGTCCTGGAAGACTGGGCGGCCGCGGCCGGCCTGGTGGTGTTGAACCGAGGGTCGGCCGCCACGTGCGTGAGACAGCAGGGGGAGTCGCATGTCGACGTATCCCTCTGCAGTCCAGCGATCGCACAGAGGGTGCGGAACTGGCAGGTGTTGGATGAGGTGGAGACGCTATCCGATCATCGTTACATTCGGATAGACGTTCTCCCCTCACCCGTAGCTCCGCACCCCGGTCGCCAGGAGAGGAATGTCCCACAACTCCCCAGATGGGTGTTGAAACGTCTGAATAAAGACGTGCTGATGGAGGCTTCCATCGTCCAGGCCTGGGTTCCCATGCCGGAGGGGCCTGTGGAGGTCGACGCAGAGGTGGGCTGGTTCGGTGAGACTCTGTCGCACATTTGCGACGCGGCGATGCCCCGCGCCGGCCCTCGACCTCCTAGGCGTCTGGTGTACTGGTGGTCGGTGGAGATAGCGGCGTTGAGGGCGGTGTGCTCCGCCGCCCGCCGCCGTTACACCAGGCACCGCCGACTCCGGGGGGGCCGCGACGCCGACGAGGAAGCACAGCTGTACGAGCAGTACAAAGAGAGGAAGAAAGCTCTGCAGCTGTCCATCAGCAGGGCCAAGGAGACAGCCAGGGAAGAACTCCTGGAGACCCTGGACAGGGATCCATGGAGGCGCCATTATAGGTTCGTCAGGGGCAAATTACGCCCCTGGGCGCCCCCCGTGGCAGAGGGTCTCCAGCCGCGGCAGCTGGAGGGGGTGTTGGAGGAGCTGTTCCCGAGACAGCCTCCCTTCACACCTCCTCCGATGATGCCGCGTGGCAGTGATAGAGAGGCCAGCGGCGTCAGCGCTGCTGCGGCTCCTGCCATTACCGAGGAGTATGTATTAAAAGTAAACTACCCGACTTACCTATTCCTACCTTTAATAGCCAAAGCGGATCCTATTTGAGCTTCGTCGACCAATTTGATAGTATTGTCGATTCCCAGCCTGACCTTAGCCCTACTAATAAGTTACAGTACCTTGTTGGTGCATTATCGGGTGAGCCTAAACATCTACTATTACATTTACGTATTGAAGCAGAGAATTACCCTATCGCTCGTGATTTGTTAAAGCGGAGATATCATAATACGTGAATACTGGCGGATACATACATAACTCAGATCCTTACCTTACCTAATATACCCCCTAAATTGAATGGATTACGTGCTTCGTTTCTCAACCCATTGTTAACAGCTTATCGTTGTTTGGAACGCTTAGAGTTACCTGTGACTAGTTGGTCATATATGCTAGTGCACATATGCCTTAATAAATTGCCCCTGGAGTTAAAGCTCGTTTTGAGCGGCGTTACGGTGGTCATAGTGATCGACTGCCCTAGTTTGATCAGATCACCAATTTTTTAGAGGATGAGTGCCGCCACCATGATAATGTAGGTGATGCAGATTAGTAGATTCTGTCCCAACTTCCCGTACGTTTGAACGAAGACCTGAATACTCGCATAACCAGCAATCTAACCACCCGCGTAGGGCCTATGTTTCCCAGGTACCAGTTTCCAATAAGAAGTGCCATATGTGTAATAGTGATTCCCATTATTTACGTGAATGTCCCCAATTTCGTGATATGAACCCACGTGACCGATCTTATTTTATTAAATCGTCTGGCGTGTGCTATCGATGTTTAGATAAACATTGGATAGCCAATTGCGCACGTGATTACAGGTGTGCTGTCTGTGCTCGGTCCTCCCATCACACCTTACTGTGTTTTAACAATTCTCGACATCCTGTTTATCCTAACCATCAGAACCGAAATAACACAAATTATCGCAATGATGTTGTGCATAGTGCACCGCGTACATCACCTCCCCGCACGGGCGGGGGCCGTCCCCCTTATAACAGCCGTACTCCCTGTTGTGATTCGTCATCACCTGCACGTCGAGCTTCTCCTCCTACATACTCACGACAAGATTATCGTCATATGTCCCTTCCCCCGCGGTCACTTCCCGAGATAAAACATAGCATAAGTCCCGTGACCTCCCCGACCGTTCTATGCATACCAACCATAGACGGAACTCGTCCCAATAACTAGGCCCTGTATCCCCCCTGCTTTCTCACCACATATGTCTATTCCATCCAATTCCCTAGTCCTCCTTCCTACTGCCATTATTCATGTCAAATCGGCTTATGGTTATTTTATAGAGGCCCGTGCGTTATGTGATACAGGCGCACAAGGTTGTCTGCTTACTACCGACTTAGCTGTTGAGAGATTGAATGTCCCCTTATCATTAAACTCAGTACCTATTCGCGGTATTGGCAACATTCAATCTGTATATTCCCGCGGTTCTATCTCCCTTACCTTTAAACGAGTTCATAGATCGTATCCTGTGATAACAACCCCTGCAGTGGTTGTTGATGTTATTGCAGGCCCCCATCCTGGGGCGACGCGGTCGGACAACCTCCAAGTATGGGCCATCCATTGGGAGGCTTCCCCATCCTCGTGGATACGTCCGCGGGGAACGGTGGCCGAGCAATGGTTTGGTTCTGGTGCGCCCTGTTTCTTTTTCTTATTGAAGTCCGGGACCACACCCGTAAAAAGGAACAAAAATGTCATGGCTGAACGAAAAAGTAAATTACCCCAGGGAGGTACCGGTCGCTCTGCGGCCGGAGAATCCTCTCCCACCGCACCGGATTCGCCGGGGGTGGGCCGTCCCACGTACTCTGGGGACACGGGCAGCGATGAAGAACGGTATCAGAGGGAGCTGATAAGGAGATACGGGGCCGTTAATTATCTTGAGGCCCTCGAACTGCATGTGGCAGATATGGACTCGGAGTGCACCGGGTCCTCAATGTCGCTAAGATCAGACGACAACCTTGGGGAGGCGAGAGGGAGTACCTCGCCCCCCAAGAAACATCGAAAGAGGCGCATCACGGAGAGGGGTCAGGAGGAGTTGGACTCCGACGACGACGAAGTGCAGCTATCGTCTGCGGCTCGAAGGAGTAGGGCCAGAGGCCCTCCAACGGCTAAGAGGGGAGCGCGAGCGGCCAAGTCTGCGGCACGATCGGGGACAGGGGTTTCGGCCTCTGAAGCCGGATCGTCCAGGTCCGTCTCGCGCGTCCGTAGAGAGTCGGAAGAGAACGCCACGCTGGGCGCAGACGAGCTGGGCGCCAAGGTTGAAGATAGTGCCCTTCAGGTCCTTGCTGCCGTGAAAAAGTCCAGCAACCTGAAGGGTACTATCGTTGGCGAAATCAACCGCGCCATCCACACCATCAGATCGGCGTCGGGTGCTCTGAGGCTGAGGTCCACTAATCAGGAGGAGGAGGCCCTCAGGAGGGAGGTGCGAAAACTCCGCGCGGAGCTGGACGACGTGAGGGAGACGAAGGCTGCGATGTTGAAGGAGTCTGTCGAGGAGAGAAAGAAGTTCCGACAGCTCCAGATGGCGTCACAGTCTTCCGCCGCGCTGGCCGAAGAACTGGCTGCGTTAAAGGCGGAAAGAGAAGGGTGGGAGAGGCAGACGCGGGACAGCGTTCGACAGCTACAGGAGCTTGAGCAGTCGAATGCTCTCGACCGTGCCGCCCTTCACAAGGCACCACGTCAGTTGGAGGAGGCCAAAACCGCTGCCGAGTTGCCTCCAGTGGTCATATCAGGGACCACGGCGGAAGCGCCGCAAGGTGCCACGCCCCGGACCCTGACGGAGGACGCCGAAGACCGGATTATCCGGCGAGTAGGCGAAATCATGAACAACCGCTTCGCCGAGATGGAGGAGCGGATCTCGGCGAAGCGAACGCGGCCACAAAAGGCCGCAAAGAGTACGCCTACCGCCGGATCATCCAGTGCAGCGGCCGATAGGGCCCCGCAGATCGGGGAGCCCAGCGGAGGAGGTGTCCCGCCACCGTCGACCTCAGCAAACAAGGCGGGATGGTCGACGGTGGTACGGCGCGGGAAGCGCAAGGGTGCTGGCGCAGGCCAGGCGGCTCCCGCCAATGCGCGCCCGGGGAAGGGTCCACGCGGCGGCCCAACAGAGGAACCGCAACGGAAGACACCTGCGCGGAAAAAGAAGGTGAAAGCACGCCCTCCTCGGTCATCCGCGGTGGTTCTCACCATGAGGCCGGGAGCCGAGGAGAGAGGCGTCACCTACAGGTCGGTGCTCACCGAAGCGAAAGCCAAGATCTCCTTGGCCCAACTCGGTATCACCGACCTGAGGTTCAGAGTAGGGAGAACCGGGTCTCGTATCCTGGAAATCCCTGGAACGCACACAGGCGAGGCGGCAGACGCGTTGGCCGCCAAAATTGAGGAGGTCCTGCCCGAGGACGTTCGGGTCTCCAGGCCAGTTAAGTCGGCCGAACTGCGGATTGGAGACCTGGACGACTCGGTGATGGTGGCCGACGTGGTCGTAGCCGTGATGCGTGAGGGGGGTTGCCTGGAATCCTCGGTGAAAACCGGGGAAATCCGGCGCAACACCCAGGGTACGGGATCTGTGTGGGTGCGGTGCCCTGTGGCCGCCGCAAAGAAGTTGGCCGAGGCCGGCCGGCTGAGAATCGGGTGGGTGATGGCGCGAGTACAGTCGCTGGATCCGCGCCCTCAGCGGTGCTATCGCTGCCTGCTTACAGGCCACGTGGGAGTGCGATGCACCGCTGCGGAAGACAGCAGCGGAATCTGTTTCCGCTGCAGCGAGCCTGGCCATAAGGCCGCACGCTGTGCCGCGCCATCACCGAAGTGTCGGTACTGTGCCGCGGCGGGTCGGAAATCCGACCATAGAGTGGGCGTCACTAACTTGTGTCGCCCCCCGAAGGCCCGAGCCGCGGCACGGTCCACAGGTGGGGGGGGGGGAGTCGATGGACACTTGAGTAAAATCAGGTGTGCATCGACTCCAAAATTGACCCTAGGGTGGAGGATTGTTAGGGCAATCCGAAGCTCGCCGGGGAGGTTTTAGGGTCTGGAGGTGGCGTGCAGACACTGTTCCCTGCACGCCTAGATGGAGGTCCCTTCGATGGGAACCATGCCGGTGGTCTTGGTGAATGCTTGCGTATCCCATGGCCACGGCGATTATGTCGAGGAGGAACAGTCGTCAGGTTTTTAGCAGGTAGGAGTCCGGCAGTATCCATTCGTCCCTAAGCGGATGGTTCTCCATGATGGATTTTCCTGACGTGAAAAAAAAAAAAAAAGGCCCCCATCCTGAGATAGAGCTGCCTAGGCCTGTTGTTAATAGTATTAATCACCTTTCCGTAGCGGACCCCTCCTTTTATAAACCAGGGCCTATTGAGGTATTGTTAGGTGCCGACGTGTTCGGTTATATTGTGCAGCCTGAGAGATCGATTTCTCTTCCTCATGGTCTGACCGGCCTTTCAACCGTTTTTGGTTGTGTGTTGTCTGGACCTGTTGCTGGTTACCTTAGGACTGAATCCTCTTCTGGCCATTGCTCCGTCCATCTCCTCATTTCTAAGAGTAGGATTGCCCCTATCCGTACTCGGCTCACAATTCCCAAGTTGGAATTGCAAGGAGCTGTGCTCCTCACAAAATTAATTCATCACGTTACCATCTGCCTACAGAAGTGATCGTGTTGGATGCTATCCATAGTTGGACGGATAGCAAAATTGTGCTGGCATGGATAAAGACTCCTCCTCACCTGCTTCAAACTTTTGAAGCAAACCGCGTGTCTCAAATCACCTCATCCGATTTCCCTTCCGAGTGGCATCATGTTCCTGGTTCTATTAACCCTAGCGATTGCGCTTCCCGAGGTCTTAGCGCATCGTCCCTTCTTAACCATGATCTATGGTGGTCTCCTTCCTGGTTGACAGAATCCCCTAATCATTGGCCTATTGGTGCAGACTTAACAAACAATCCTATTGATTCTTTACCTGGCCTTCGCTGTTTGTTAATTGAAATACCTACGCCAGCTATGGATCTCTCGTTTCTCCTCGACCGGTATAGTTCCTTAAATAAACTATTCGGAGTGTTAGGCTTTATTCTGCGTTTTATTTATAATGTTAAATATGTTAATTTACGTGTTATTAATCCTTACCTTTCTGTTGACGAACGACGTAATTCTTTGTTGATGCTTATTAAAGCAACCCAGTTACATGCATTTTCTAACGAGATAGAATCCTTAAAATGCGATAATGTTATTAAATCCCCTTTAAAACGGCTGTCGTGTTTCCTAGATGAAAACGGTTTAGTCAGAGTTGGCGGACGTATATGTAATTCTGAACTCTCATACGATGCTCGTCACCCATTACTTTTACCTACGTCTGGCCCCCTTGTTAAATTAATAATTTCCCATTATCATATCGAAAATTCTCATGCTGGTCCTAATGCCTTGCATGCTATCCTTTCCCGTGAATACTGGATATTATCGGCCCGACGTGCTATTCAAAACATAATATTTCATTTTCTCTCTTGTTACCGCCTTAAAGCATCCGTATCTCAACCCCTATGGGTGATCTACCAAGGGACCGGATCTATACATACTTCGGCTAGACCATTTTCTCGTGTTGGCACTGACTTTGCGGGCTCTTTCTATACTAAAGTACAATCCTATCGAAATAAGAAAATAGTAAAGAGTTATCTGTGTGTATTTGTTTGCCTGTCAACTAAAGCGGTACATTTGGTAAGTAGTATCCGACCTTACGACTGAATCTTTCCTATCTACCTTTACCCGATTTGTTGCGCGTCGCGGATTACCTACCCTTATACGTTCGGATTGTGGACGAAATTATTTAGGAGCGAGTAACTATATTAGAGAGCTTGATTCATTCCTGTCCCAAAACCATGATGATCTTGCTTCACAACTCGCCCGCAAGAATATAAATTGTGTATTTGACCCACCGGCCTGTCCTCACTGGGGAGGATTGTTTGAAGCAGCCGTTAAGTCTGCCAAGACGCAACTTAAACGAGTAATCGGTGAAAATCCCCTTACCTTTGAGGAATTGACCACTGTATTTGCAAAAATTGAGTCTGTACTTAACTCTCGGCCTTTGTGTTCCTTATCTCAAGATCCCAATGATCTTGAAGTGTTAACCCCTGGTCAACCCCTTACTGCGTTACCCGAGTACCCATTGAGAGACGAGAAGCAGCATCGCATTTCACGCTTTCACTTATTGCAACAAATTACTCAACATTTTTGGTCGCGGTGGCATTCAGAGTATCTATCAACCCTTCAAACTCGTAATAAGTGGACTTCTCCTATGAATCCACCTAATGTTGATGAATTGGTTTTGATAAAGGTTGACAACCTCCCTCCTTTGGAGTGGCGCCGCGGACGTATAGTACAGTTATTTCCTGGTCAAGACGGTGTAATTCGAGTGGTCGAGGTCAAAACCTCTACTGGTTTTTTAAAACGTTCTCTTACAAAACTGATACGCCTCCCTATTGAGTAATGTATTGTATAGTTCCCTTACCTTGTAATTTTTCCCTTAATTTTGATAATTTGTTCCGTAAACATCATAGCTGTTTAGAGCGGGGGCTATGTTCAAAATCTACCCTGTATCATCGTAAGCACAGATATTATATTATATTAGAGTCCGTTAGTTTTCTGTTCCCGCGCGTTCCCTTCCCCTCCCTAACTAGTAACAAACGGACCGTACAGCGGCCTTGACGCGCGCGCGCATTTGTTGTGAATTAAAATAAATTAGAACTGTGAAACCTACTGTGAAACTGGAAAGCTAGCGAAGATACCTTCGAGACCCTGAAGCCCAAGAAATCCGCAGAACCATACAGGTACGTGACAGACATAGTAAATTCCCTAACATTTTGGTAGCAGAGAGTAGTTTACCAAACATTTTGGTAGCAGAGCGTAGTTTCCCAAACCTGCACTTTTTTCGGGATTGACTTCTATGCGCCACCGACGGAACCATTCGCCGAGTATCGTTACGGCTTTCTGAAGCCGTCTGGCTATTGTCGCACGGGACTTGGCGGATGTAAAGAGAGCCGTGTCATCGGCAAACAGCGATATTTCGACTTTTAAGTCGGAGAATTTAGGGATGTCGTTGGTGTACAACGAGTAGAGCATCGGAGAGAGGACGGCGCCCTGAGGGACGCCGGCTCGTATGGGATGCGGGTCGGATAACGCTCCGTTTATACGGTAGCGATAAGAGCGATTCGACAGGAAATCTCGTACAATGAGTACTAGCCTGTCGGGGACACCTAACTGATGAAGCTTGTAAATCAAGCCGTTGTGCCAGACTTTATCGAAAGCCTTAGCCACATCAAAAAATAGAACACCTGTACCTCCTTTGGGGGACTTGGTGGCGAAGTACAGGGTGTTTTTGTGAATGTGCTCCGTGATGCGGTGCACTTGATGGACGCACGAGTGTTTGGCTCGGAAGCCAAACTGCTCATTGATGAGCAGGCCTTTGGAGTATATAAACTCCTTTAGGCGGGCGAGGAGGATTCGCTCGTACAGCTTGCCTATAGCCTTGAGTAGGCTGATAGGACGATAACTGGACGGGTCGGATTTATTTTTACCAGGCTTGGGGATGCCAATGACCACGGCTTCTTTCCAGCTGTCTGGAAATATGGCGTTGGACAGCACCGCGTTAAAAATAGTGACGAGTAATAGTAATAGTTGAGAGGGCATGCCGTCTGAGCCGGGTGATTTTTTGATAGGTAGTTGTTTAACTAGCGTTTTGACCTCATCAAGAGTTACTGGTGAGAGAGATTCAGTTAGGCGGGGTGGACGCGATGCGTTCGACTTCGGTGTCTATCTTCTCGAGATGACCTGCCTCGACTGGGAGCGCGCTGGGGGAGCATTGGGCTTCTAAGTAATTGTTAGCAATGTATAAAATTCAAAACACAACAAGAAATTATTATAATAATTGTACTTTCAGAGTTAAGTACTATTTTCACTGAGAGCTTCACAGCTAATCATGAGATAGCATCTAAAATGTCTATAATAATATGTAATATTATGAAATATGACATGTTATGTAGCTTGTATCAGTTTATGTCAACAATATATTGTGTCTATCTATATTAATATGCTTTATTAATTCATTAATAAACACAAAGTATCAAAGTATCAACCAACATAATATATGACAGTATCTCAATTTGGGAATATAACCACCATCAAGACATATACCTGGACTATATCTGTGATTGTAATATGAAATGGGATCATCAAACATATATGTGTACCTATGTAAAGAAATAATAACAATTCTTCAATTCAATTCATATAGAACAAACACACAAAACTGAACAGTAAGTTTGACTAATTTACTGTGAATTAACAACAAACTCAGCAATACCATAACATTGTTTATATGTATAACATAGTATGTGTTCTCAGAACATGTATGTCAATATAGTTAATGTAACTGTTTCTAACCTGTTGATATCCTATCTATATATCATACTCCATCATATGCAATAATAACATAACAATAGTTACTCTGTATTTTAAACTAATTAGATATTCATGTTATTTTATACTTAATGTATTCATAATACTTCTTTCTTATATTGTATACCTCAATATCGTCGTACGCTACATGTCATGTCATTACTCTCGCAAGTTATCGTACATACTAAATCTATTTAGTATGTAGAAAGCAATTTATCCAAAAGTTCAAGACAACAAGTCAGATACTGCGTTTAATGGTATGCGTGATATTAACGTAAATTCACTTACCATAATTTCTAGTCAGAATTACCTTACGGTCGTATTTGTAGACGGGATTGGTACCGCTTCTGAACTATTAAAATCACTAGTATTCTGATGACTTAGACGTAATGCCGGTTGGTCAGGGAGAGAAACACCTCAATGCCTACAATATTCACAATTACCTATCTCTTATTTGTTTTTATAATAATATAAACACTCTCAACTTTTTCGCTCCAAAACTCCCGCTGCCTACGTTCAATCATTCATCAATCTATCTGTCAATGTCACACAGATTACTTTGGCTCTGGCCTCTGACGTTTCGTTTCAGGTTACATGATTATTGACTTTACCATTTTTAATTAATGGTGCGTCACACGATAGTTAACAATACCTTTATACTTTTATTTATGTAACCACATACATAACCTACATAGAAACCCCTACCTGTTACAATATACTTACGTACTTGCGAACACCAATACATACACCACGCGAGGAATCGAACCCGCGAACACAGGAAACAAAGCACTAAGCCACTAGACCATCGAGGCTCTCAATTCTTATTAGACCTCCAATGTCTAACAATTAGTAATAATAATAAATCTAGACGATTCACATAGCGTCACGTAGCCAAGGCAAGTAAAGCTGCATCCCTGTTGTCAGGCAACTCCTATAAATACCTATATACCTTTATCTATGTAACCACATACATAACATACATAGAAACAAAACATACACATCAATACATACGCCGTGCGAGGAATCGAACCCGCAATAACAGAAAACAAAGCGTGTACTGTTAAACCACCAAAACATCGAGGCTCTCAATTCTTATTATAACTCCAATGCCTCACAATCAAACAAAGATTTAATTATGACCATAAGTCAAAATAACATACATGTACTGGGTTTAATAACCCTATTATGTACAATTATATATATTTAGCTGAA